GCAAAGAAATCTATGGGGGACATGAATTCTTCATCTACGCAGTGGCTAAGGATTCCATCAGGAGTAAAAGACTGTGAAATGGGTGTGTTAGTACAGCACCAGTTCCAGGAAAGGCTCCTCCCCACAGAGTTCCCTGTTATAGGAGAGTCACCGACTGTTGAGCAGCAAACATAAGTACTCCGCTTGCTGGAAGATGGGTTGAATGACAGACCTTTTGAAACGGTCACCTCTGTTAGAGCATTAAATTAGAAAATTATCTTAATGGGAAGACTCTGGTAGAAAAGTGCAAAGGGGGCCACTGAGCTATTGCTGTCGCTTCGTACTCAATCCAGATTCAAAACCAGGCTCTGAGGAGAGATGTGGATGACACTGGCTGCCTAGCGGAGGTCGTGGCTATTTAGCCGACTACATTCTATCTGCTTGTTTACATGTTTTTTTTACGGGGCCCAGCCAACTGAAATTGCCCTTCTCAAAAGATGTTACGTGTTGTTCTGGGGTGCGGTTTTCAGAAGTGCTCAGGATTGGCCAGCATCTGCTTCCCTTGAAGTCAGAAGTATTTTAACACTGAATTTGTTAGGAGTAGGCATAAGCCAACACTGAGGGCTTTTAAAACACCACCTCCACTTAACCCCAGATCACCACAAGGGGAAGATTTGCCCCTTGTGTATTGTAAACTTAACAGTTTTCCTTTTATAGTCCGGTACTGGGGCTCTTTTAGTAACAGGGTTTTAAACAGGAAAATGTGACTGTCAAATCTCCCACACTGGAAGTTCGGTGGCAGGTGAAACATGACACAGTTCACTCTTTTATCTTCAACTGACTAGATTTCAAGTTTTTGATCTCCCATTAAGTTCATAGAGCGATGGGAAACAGCCTGCACAGACAAATGACCCGGAAATGAGTTTACTGTCAGTGACCACACAGTCTGTTTTAACTCTCCTGTGACACCGTACTCTTGCCCAGCTGGGTGGGTGTGTGAAATTGATGCTCTGGTTCAGCTAGAAGTGGAGGCCTTTGTATGCCGGAGGTGAAACTCAGTTGTGACCGCCCCTGTCCATTCAGCACACGTCACTCTGCCCTTCTCCCACAACCGCCCCTGAAACGGTCACTGCATCTCCTCTTCATAGTCATAGGAGTGGAATTTGGGGCTCTCTGCCCTCTGCCTTGCCTTGGCAGGCTGCATTGCTCTTGTCACAGCCTGAATGGGGGAGAAGAGGCTTGGGAGCTAGACCCCCGCTCACAAGGGACAGCACAAGGAACAGCCATGGAACCACCAGGCAGTTCTAAACCAGTTGAAATGCCTGCTAGAAAAAGCCCCGCCTTCCCAGCAGCCTGGGTTGTGGATTCCTCAAGCCACATGGAATGGGAGTTTTGTCAACCCCGAGGGAAAACGAGATGGGTGTGTTAAAACAAAACACTCGCCCCAAAGTCAACGTGACAGACCTGGCGGGGCAGCAGTGCCTGGACACTGTTCTGAGATGGGTGGAACAGTCACGAAATGCTCTCTGCCCTAGGGCAGTGGCATCAGAGTTACTGGTGGAACTAGGGATTTTAGAGTTGGATATGCCCAAAGGTCACACGCACATTCACTGTTTCTTGTGTCTTGCTTTTCTTTTCAGGCTCTAGATCCTTGCTCTGTCAATCCTTCTGACGTGACTTCCTGTCCTGTAGCTTTGCATTACATATGTCGACCGTATGCATGAATATTCGGTTATTTATCAGAGCAGAGCATGCCTCTTTCCTGGCCCTTGGATTTATCCAAGATTGACACACTGGGACTATAGACTGAGGCTGTTGTCATCCCCTAAGAACTTTTAGTGCATGTCAACTTACCTAAGCCAATTCCTTTATGTCTTTGTACCAGTGTGTTGCATTGTGTAGTTAGTTACTAACATCGTGGTTTTCAATGACTTTGTGAAAGCAAGATCTGCTTAGTGGGAATGGAATAACTTAGTGCATCGTCTTCCTGATGATGCAAGTTATCCCATTTCTGTTTGTGTGTGTTGGTTATTTTGCTAAAACAGCGTAAATGTTAATACCTGTTGCTTCCTGTTGAATGGATAGTGTATTTCCCAAGCTGCTTCTGCCTGTTGTTGTCAGTCTCCTCCTCTTAGGATGAATTAAAATCTATTGAGTAACAAGAATATTCAAGTACTGGTGTGACCATCACGGCATCTTCATAAAAACTTGTGCTATCAACTAAAGATTGTTACCTACCACCTGCATAGTCAGACTTTGATATTCTCCTTACTCCAATGGAATAGTGTATGGAGCAAGGCCCTAACCTGGGACTGCTTGTATATGCACTATTCAACGTGAGTGAGGGAATCGCAGTCTGTCTGTAAATTATTAATATGCCTGTCACCATTTGGGCTTCCGAACAGCTTTAATGTCTCTGGCTATACTGCAGCTTGCACAGTATGTGTTCTAGATGGGCTTCGAGTCTCACCCAATTGGGCTGTTCTTATGTTTTGTGTAGCCTCATTGTTACCACTGGGTTTAGGGATGAGCATTTTTTTACAATTACTATCAATGCAATATTCTGAATTGTGGCACCCCTCAGATTTGTCCACTGATACGCATGAATGATGAGAGAAACACCCTGGTCCCATGGGTTCTACTTACTCTGTCAGCATGGCATGTTCATGTGTAAATTTAAGCCACGGTTTTACAAATGCTCAGTTCCTGCTGTTGGAGGGACAAGCTGGGTGAGGTAACATGCTGTGTTGGACCAACTTCTGTCGGCCAGAGGGACCAGTTTCGGAGCTGAAGAAGAGCTCTGTGGGAGCTACAAAGTGTGTGTCTTTCACCAGAAAAAGTTGGTCCAGTAAAATATATCCCCTCTCCCGTCTCGTGTGTCTATCCTGAAAGTAAGCAGCTAATTTCTGTCTGAGACTTTCTCCTTTCTGACACCCAACATGCATTGCCATTGCTGTAGACAGGCACAATACTCACTGCAGCTCTTCAGAGGGGAGAACTGTGCCCTTTGTACGGCAAGATGGATTCTCTCCAGTCGGCATAGTGAGCTAGCATCCTTTAAAGGGCTGACCATGCACATACACAATCGCCATGTGGGTTAGTAGGATCCATTGGAAAGAGCTTTGCGGCACCATTTCTGCATTATTCACCATGCCCTCAATTGAGGGGTTTGCAGAAAAACGTGAAGTAGTTGCCAGGGGGAACTCGGAATATGAAATGAGTGTCGAGTAAAAGAGAGAGAGCGAGCGAGCCCACAGAGCCAGGCGCTAGGCAGACGGACCATGGCAGCCCCTCCCCAAGGACTTAGGCCGGAACTTGCCAGGAACGCTCAGCACGTCAGTAATTTGTACACAGCACAAGAGTACAGGGCTTGGTTCTGAGCATGGAGCAGGTTTGAAATCCTTGTTCTAAGTTGGTGATGTTTGCAAGTCTGAGGGGTGTAATGAGGATTTTTTTTTTGGCTGTAAGGTTACTGCCTTTTTGGAGGCACCAGTTTTTCTTTGCCAATTCGTGCAAGATTGGCATCTTTGTTTCTAATGAAACCAAATAAATTAACACAGTTGCTCCTCATCTAAAGCATGGAGACTGACAAGAACAGCATAACATTCGCCTGCGGAGAAGCAGGAGACTATACACTATCTTCGTTGAAGACAATCAAATTGAGATTTAATTTACAAGCAGAAAGCCTGTTGGAAGGAGATTTCAGCTGGATGTGCTGACGTTCTCCCGTCAGATGGTTTTTGTGTTTTCTTCCATGTTAAGCTTTTACTGTACCTTTATGGTATATTAAGGGAGATTATGTGGGTTACAATAGCAAACCTTGCATTAAAACTGTTGGCTCAAAAACAAGTAAAAGCTTCAGTGGAAAATACGCACCCATATACTGCAGATAATTTTGATCAGCAGTGTCGGGAATTCAACTTTCATTTGTTTGTAAAAGCAACGGGGAAAACTGACACGGAAACCGGACAGCACTTTGCCTTCTTGCTCAGTCCCAATCAGTGTGTGCTGCGATGATGCTGGCTGATTGCAGCATGCATGCAGTGCTGAATCAACTTCTCAGACAAGGCTTTGATTTGATTGTCCTTCCTGTTGGGGCTTGGTGCTCGCAGAGGTCACGAGAAATAAGGGCTGACGGTGCTTTCGCTTAATTTCAAGCATGTTAGCAATGTCGCTTGCCTTGTCCCGGCTCTCTCTATCTGTTGGCTGGAAGCTCGCAACGAGGAGGTTGCCGTATTTGGCTGCCTAGCAGTAGCTTTATTTTTTAGGCCGTGAACAGATGTGAGGGGAAGGTGTCAGACGCGAGCTTTCACTTGCCTTCTTTTTGTGACGGTTATTAAGTTGCGGTGCCTTTCGAGGGAGAGGTGCTTCTTTCTGGTGGTGGTATTTACACAACCCTCGTTTGTGTTGACTTCTTAAAGTTTCTAAATTTGACGGTGAGCTGTAGCTACAGGAATGTGTTAAAATGCAGCACTCAACGAGAAGCAGTGACTTGGGTAGTGGTATGGTATATTGACAGGAGCGTTAGTGCTTGTCAATATGTAAAGGGGAAGCAAGTTAGAGGCTTCCTTTTCTGCTCCTCGTTTGAATGGGGTTTTAAAGCCAATCACTAGATGAGACGGAGCATATCAAAATCCTCAGGGCAGACTTAGCTTCGCACAGGGGAGCAGGCTGCTCTCTCAACGCGAATGTTTTTGTTAGGGTTTTTGGCAATAGTACGAAAGTTTCCCAAATGAAGTGTCTTACGCCCCTATTTGTCAGCAGTGGTTGAAGAGAAAACGAACAAACAAAAAAGCAAATGTTCTTTTTGTGAGGCTGTGGCCGGGGCGGGGGAAGGTGAAGAAGGAATTCCTCACTAGACGTTGGGAGGACTTGAAGGCATGTGCGGGATTGCCTTTCTAGGACCCATGTATTAGGGAAATGGGCCTCGTCTGACTTTTGGCTTGGTGGTGTTACGTGGGCTCTGCTGTCCCTTCCAAATGGAGTTGGTGAGTTGTGCTCTAACGATGTTTGTTTCTTAGCCTTCGAAGACCTTGATAGCGCCGTGGATGATAGAGACAGCGACTACCGCAGCGAGACCAGCAACAGCATTCCTCCTCCTTACCACACAATCTCCCAGCCCAACGCCTCCGTACACCAGTTCACCGTGCCCTCGCGCCTGCAGCAGCAGGGAGTGTCTCGCGAGTCCTGCATGGACTCCATGCAGAGCTATGATCTGGATTACCGGGAACGCATGGCCATCAGGTGGGTGCTGATTGGAAAACTGTAGCTCTTTCTCCACCAGTGAGCGGTTACTGTAGATTCGGAGGGCACTATGCAAACGCAGGAGGGACAGTCGTGAGGTTTTCAGAGTGTGATGATAAGACAGCACAAGGTATCACCTGCCGTGTGAATGGAAGTGTTGTTCTAATCTAAGTCTCCACCTTTGAATCAAGCAAGTATAAGGGCAGATCCTGCAGCCTCGTTTTATAAAAGAATTTTTACACTGTGCCCAAACTTAGGAGATGTATTGGTCTAATTTTTCCAAATAAATAAATAGGATAGAGAACTTGAAAATGTCATCTGGCAAGTGTGTGGTACCTTGTGTTATAATGAAATGAATCTCAGTGCTTTTCTTTGTAAATTTCATCTTCATTGGTGACAAATTATCTGTTTCACACAGAACTGTTGCATAACATGAGTTTTGCTTCAGTGTGTGCCTTGCACTACAAGAAAGCCTGGGTGTGTTGCCAGAAAGTTGAACCCTTCCCCAATTTTTTTGTGGACACCTTTCTTCAGTGTAAGGGGTCCCCCCCCTTTTTTTGCACATAGCAGAACATATAGTTGTCTTTTGACTACCAATGAGCAGTTGATCAACCATTATTTTGCCTGGTCAGCTCATTAGATGAATAATTACCATTGTAGTGCTTAAGAGCCCTAGTTGTGAACCCGTGTCCCACTCTACCTGCCCTGTGAACACCTAACAAGACCAGAGGCCCCAAAGGCGTATAATGTAAGCAAAGGAAGAACAGGTGGATTCAACAGGCAGGCAGTGGGAGCAGGCAGAAACAATGAGACAATATTAGTCAGCTTGACAGGTGGCTGTTTTGGAGAACTAGGATATACTTGGACACACACTCTTCCTGTGCTGAAATCTGGGTGGGCAGAGGAGTTCCCTGATGGTTTATCTGCCAAGAAAGAAGTGAAAGGTGCAGAGTTTTTTGCACTTTTTGCATCAAACTGGTCCTAGTCTCCAACCCTTGGCCTACCTTCAAAATGGAGGGCATGCTTGCATTCTGCAGTCTAGACGTCAGTTGTTCTTGTGCCTATGTTGAATGGCAAATCCTGATATTGGGTTTGCTTTGTAGTGACAATAGTGACAGTACTATTAACTCAGTATCTTCTCAGTAATACCTTGTTTCACCAGTAAAATTCAGCTTTTACTATGTCACTGCTAATGGGACTGGATGAGGTGCATGTTTTTATACTTTTCATCTGTAACAGTGTGATGTTACTTTCAATGCATTCTAGTCCATTAAATGCATAATCTGATGCTTTCTCCTGCCGCCTCCTCCAGTAGATTTGATTGTTCCGTGCAGGGCTACCTATCGGATTGTTGTACACTCTAATCACCATCTTTCCTTGCACAGATGTGTTTGTGTTTGCATATAGGCTAATTTTTGTGCCCACTTTGTCCAAGCAACTTTTTAATTCAAATAGTAGGTGGCTGTCACTAGGCTATTTTTTTTTTTTTGGAGGGGCTAGTGAGAGGTAGTGGGGGTTGTTTGTACTTGTTGTTTATACTGCACCCTGCTTCATTATCTATCTTTTTGCTCCGTGTCAAACACCAGTGCAGTTACCTCAGGGAAGTCTGATCATGCAGGAGGTCAGATAAGATGATCAGCGGGCCCTGCTGCTCTTATGTGTAACTCTGCGACGCTTTTGGTTTCTACATATGAGTCCCAATAAAGAAACTCCTTTTGCGCCATGGTCAGTGCCTTGGCCTCCAGCTGCGTGTGTTTACACTTGTAATTCTTGTGCACTGTGAGCTGAGTGGTGCACAGTTGCCAAGAGCTCACTTCCACGGCATCTTGAACAATTGATCTAGGGAGCGGGTAGGTTCTCCACCACTTGCAGTCAAGGCTGGATGTCTTTTGGACAGATATGGTCTAGCTCAAACAGAAGTTATGGCTGTGGGGCAGAAATGATTGGCTGAGGTTCTGTAGCCTGCGCTATGGGGGAGGACAGAGGATGCGAGCCCTTCTGGTCTTACAATCTCCGAATCTGTCAATACACTCGTGCATGGGAGGGGTGGGCGTTTCATTAGCATTGTCTACACGGTGCAAACAAACCTCTTCCCCTTCGCTTGCATAGCCGCTCTCTGCATTGGCAGCTATTCTTTCTTCACCTTCTGTTCCTTCGCTACTTGCTAAGAACTTGGCTACATAGGAGCCTTTTCCATTGGCCTGGCTGGATGGGCGTGATCCCTCAGCAGAGATGCATGGCTAAAAGTGTGGCTTGTGTTAGTGCTACTTTCCCTCGGGGTGACAATAATACCCAGCTCTGAGCCTGAGCCGATCTCACAGGAGTTCCATTTCATTCTCCTGGCTTCACAGATGGGGAAAGAGGCTTGCTGGGGGGTTGCGTCTGTGCAGCTGCACTGCTGGAAAATCCCTAATGCGGATGTGTGTGAATGACTTGATTCATAAAAAACAATTTCGATAGCCCCCATAAAGAGCTGATGGTTTTTGGAAAGTTTGGGGTTTGGCCTACTAAGCCGTTTCAGCACAAGCTCGAAAGGGCTAAAGAATTCTGCTATGGAATAGATTGGTTAGTTCTTCGAGTGGTTGCGGATACGAATTCCATTCTTGTGTGGTAGCACCAAATTCACCGACATTTTCCTTTAGTAGCGCTCAGTAGGGCATGTGTCCTGCCCTATGTCCCTATCAGAGGAACAGATTCACTGCGGCCTACTTGATTCTGCAAGGTCACCTGCATTTCTATCTCCGCAGAGCTCTCAGGCCATCCACGACTTCTTCATGCACCGGCTGTTTCCGAGGAAATGAACAGAACTGTGCAATTTATCAAGTGATCCATCGCCTCCTGTCCAGTCCCAGTGCCTGGCAATTAGTAGTTTCAAGGCGCCCAGAAAATGGGTTCATTCCCAACCATCGTGGCTAGCGTCCATCGATGGACCTGCCCTTCATGAGCTTATCTGGCTCTTTCTTGAACACAATTATACTTACTGAAGTGTTGGAGCATAAGCTTTCGTGGGCAAAGACCAACTTTGTCATATGCATGTAGTGGAAATTTCCAGAGGCAGGTATAAATATGCAGGCCGTAATCAGGCTGGAGGAGACGAGGTGGATCCAATCAGGGAGGATGAGGCCCACTTCTAGTAGCTGATCTGGAGGTGTGAATTCCAAGAGAGCAGAAGCTGCTTTTGTAGTTAGCGAGCCATTCACAGTCTTTGTTTAATCCAGAGTTGGTTGTGTCGAACTTGAAGATGAACTGTAGCTCAGCAGTTTCTCTTTGAAGTCTGGTCCTGAAGTTTTTTTGCTGCAGGATGGCTACCTTTAGATCTGCAATTGTGTGTCCAGGGAGACTGAAGTGTTCCCCTACAGGTTTTTGTATGTTGCCATTCCTAATATCTGAGACCTTGTAGAATCGTATTCCTAATAAGGTGCCACAGGACTCCTCGCCGCTTTTGCAGATTCAGACTAACACGGCTACCCCTCTGATACTTGACAGTTATACTTGTGGCCTTCACAGCATCCCTGCCCCCTCAGGCTGACTCTGCATTGTGTGAGGAAGCATTTCCTCATGTTCGTTTTAAGCCTGCTGCCTGTTAGTTTTATGGGAACCTCAGTGGTTGTGCGCAGAGTAAATAACACTCTATACCAGTCACAATTTTATATACCTTCCTCATAGTCCCCGTTAATCATCTCTTGTCTAAAATGTACAATCCCAGTCTTAATCTCTAATCATTTTTGTTGCCCTTCTCTCTACCTTTTCTAGTTCTAACGTGTCTTTGTTAAGACGAGGTGACCAGTTTTTCTCTATTCCCATGGTTATTCGATTTCTTCGAGGAATAATTTCCTTCCTTCCTCTGATCCAGGACTTGATACTTTCGTCAGCCCTCAACAGTTTTAACATCCATCAGTGACCCCTTGTATTTTGCCTCACCTACGCCAGAATATTGGCTACCTTATAGCTAAAACTTTGGCATCTTTGAACTCTCGGTTGGACCTCCCTGGTCTGGCACCATCGAGTCTTGACCTGTCCCAAATGACAGTGTTTGCTGGACCCAGGGGAGGTATCCCCTGCCACCTGCCTGGAGCCAGCTGGCCTCCTGCCTTTGGTCCCTCTACTCCCTCCCCAGTTGGGGTGTCCATCGTGCTGCCGCTGCCCCACCGGCTCTGGGCTGCCATGGGAGGCCGGGGTTCTCTGGCCCTGGCACTGGCCTCGTGCTGTCATGGATGGCCCGGTTTCCGTGGCTCCACGCTGCTGCGGGTGGCCGACTTCTTTGGCACTGCACTGCGTGGGCGGCTAAGGTTCCCTAGCCCCGTACTGCCGCATGCACCAGCGTCCAGCTGCCATAGGTGGCTGGGATTCTCCAGCCCCCGGTTCCATGGGTTCTGTGACCCCAGCCCCAGCACTGCTGTGGGGCTCCTCCAGCACTGCTGACAGCAGATATGGCCGGGCTGCTGGTCCTCCTGTCATTAGGCTCCGGACTCTCTGGTCCAGGAGCATCCATGGTCCTGCTGGATCACTGATGTTGCCGGACCAGAGAGTGCTGGATTTCAGAGGTGCGACTGGTTTTTCAAGGACAAAGCAGCTATATAGCTGCACCCTCGCTTCCCAACTAAAGTATCATTGAGATTTCATTTAAATGTCTTCTAGCCTTCTCCCTGCAGGTGCCTTCTGTCAGGGGTGAGGCATGTTTGTGCCCCTTAGATGCTCACAGAGCACTGGCTTTTGCCTTGGCAAGTCTGAGCCCTTTACCCAGTCTCCTGGTTTCTTCGTACTCTCTCGGGACTCTCTCGCATGAGAGGTGAGGCCGTGTCAGCACTGACAGGACCACCTGGATTGCTTCCTGCATCCGTTTGGCATGCCGTTGCTAGCGGACCACTTCCTCAGATGTGTTTGGCTTATTCAGCAAAAGCCCAAGTCACTTCTGTGGCTTTCCTCAGGGATGTTCCCACAGTGGATATTCATAGGGCTGCTACTTGGTCTTCTCTGCATATGTCCTTGGCATGGTACGGTCAGTCATCCCACGAATTTTAATTCCACTTGGATTAACAGCCATTCAGTATAAATGTAGGAGTTTTTTTGTCTCCACTGGATATTGTTCTTGGAGCCTACCAATAGCCACAGGTTTAGCTAGGAAGGAAGCTCAGGTTTATTTGATGGGAAAGATTCTCTCCAGTTACATTCTACGTTCACAGTGGAAACTGCAGTCGTTACCCTAGTGAACACAAATCCCAGCTCCGAGCTGTATTACTTTGGAGTCACCGGAGTGGGATACGTGTCTGCAACCACCTAAGAAAAACGAGCGACTTGAGTGTTGTGGAGTGAGATGGGTGCAGCTGTGTACTCGGCCCGCCCTCCAACCCCTCTGCATCAGCTGTCAACCCTTCTCCCATGGGGAGGAACTGAGCCGGGTTAGAACAGCGCTGCTCTCCTGTAGTCTGAGGGGCCAGTACGTCCCCGACAGGTACAGCTAGGGGAAAAATCAGACACCTGTGTGTTTGGCACAGCCCCTGAGGTGCAATACAGTTACAGAGCAGGTACCTCACGGTTTCTTCAGTTATTACATTTCATGAGTGTAAAGCCAAGTGAATCTGATGACAGGACTTGATCAGCCTGTTCAGGTCCAGCAGTACCTTCATGAAAGGTGAGCTGAATCTGTCCGCAGTATCTCCATCTGACAACTCTTTTGATGCTATGTAGGTCACCACCTTGTCTATGTGTCCCAAGGGGATTTTTTTCTAGGAATCTATTTTTAAAACTTAAAACCTCTCTAGAAATGCTGCATGAAATCTTCCCTTTTTATGACCATAATTTGGACCCCTAATCAGGGTGATTGTGGCTCTTTACCATGAGGACGTGGGTTTTCGTTTCCCTCTACTCTGGCCTGCCTAACATCTTTCCTTTGCTCTTTCTCAGACAAGCCCATATTTTAGTTCCAGTAGCCAATGTAATTGTGAGTAGCAGACTTCTTATCTGTGGGGCTTTTTCAGTTGGAATGTTATTTGCGATATTGAGTTTGGAATCATTTTGTAACTTTGTCTTCCCTGTCTCCCTGCTCTTACTCTATTTACTTTCAAGGCGATATGATAGCCTAGATTCCACTGTGAGTGGCCCATCTGACGTAGGATCTGCATCTGAGTCTAGCCAAATGACAAGCCGCCAGTACTCGCTAGAAAGCAGGCAGTCTCTAGATTTGCCCGATAGGTGGGTTGTGTGTCTCATCTCCTTGATGTGGCTGTTTTGATGTCATCTTGTGATGTACTGCAGCTGACATTCACTGTTTGCATGCCTTCACTGTGTTTCCAAACTGTCGTAGCGTAATGATGGGCTGATGTCATTGCTTGTTTGCATTCTAGGTGTGGTACTCCAGTTGGTTTCTTCTTAGTGTAATGTAACATTTGTATATAGTAGAGGAAAAACTCTTAAACTTCCCACATCAAAACAGGCCTATTCCCTTGAGGCCTAAAAGTTCTGATTATTACTGTAAAGTCTACGCACTTTCCTCACACTTTCACATGGTTCCCATTGCGTTCAACTGCGGCATTGGATCCAAAGGTAGGGTCTGGCCCTAGGAGCGATCCTAATTTGGTGGTAGCTCTGTAAAACTGTCTCCTCATCACTGGCTTTAAATGTCACCTATAAAAAATTACAGTAGCTCTTTTCCATTTTCACAAAATGGGATTCACGTTAAGGAAATGATCATCTTTTGGATTAACACAAACTTGCCTAATATTAATAAAATCTGCAGTGCTTGATATCAGAGTGAAAATGCAATGAACTGTTCTAGCATTCCTTAAAATATAACACTATCCTCTCAATATACCAAAATGTATCTGAAGCTGCTTTATTATTATTTTTCACCAATACCTGTTGTACTTCAAACAGAGATTCCATAATTTTTGTAGAAGATCTGTGTCAAACCATTATGGAGCTCTTTCACCTTGCAGACTGTTGTTGTAACTTTCGATCCCTTGATTTAAGAAATATTATATGTTCTTAGTAGATGATAATCTTTCCTTATTTACCTCCATTTGAATGTAGTCCATGTTTTATATATATTTTTGTTGATGTATTTAATTCACTATTCTTCTGGTAGTCTCATTTAAACTGTCCTTTGAAAACTTGCGTTTTTAATTTTTTTTTCTTCCTCTACTTTTTCCTCCTTTTTTCTGCCTCCTCTCCTTTTTTTTTGTCTTTTGTCTGTCAGACAAGGCTCTCTAGTTAGAAGTGACGTGGTCAGGATAATTCCATTTGATTCTGAAGTTGGAGAGGAAGAGTGGGAAAGTAACTATGAAGAGCTAGGAAAACTGCTAATAGAGGAATTCCTAGAAGAAAGTAATAGAAATAGGAACTGTCAGAAAACAAATGTAAAGAAAACCCAAACTCTCTCCAAAAAGGAGAATTTCAATCACTCTGAAAGATCAAGATTCTGCCAGAATATGGAGCCAGGAACTTCAGATATTCCTGGATACCCTCAGGAATACGATACAATAGATAGGAGAAGGAAAAAGAAACTAAGATACAAACATTTTGAAGAGAGTGAGCAAAGAAATGTGCATTATAACGGAAGTCTACACTTTCCTGTGGACAAAACAATCTCTTTTAATGGTATAGCAACTAGGTCTGAACCTAGCACTGTGTTCCCAATATGTGAAGGCAGTGAAAAATATAACCATGCCAGGATTGAAAATAAAGAGCAGCTGCCTGCGCACTCAGTGTTACGTCCGTACAAAAATGGCCTCCTGGTGAAAAGTGGCAAGTGGCCCAGCAAGCGGCTGGCAAAGCATGACTCTGATGGGTCCGTTCCCTTTGGCAGCAAGGACGTAACCAGTGCAGAACAAGCAGCCAATACCTTTGTGCTACTGGATGACCTGGAAGAATTGGACAGCAGCGCTTCTGAGGAGCTTCAGCATTCACCCGCTTCAGACGACGAAATGGAAGAATTAGCCAGACTTGCACAAACATGGGGCAAGCCCAATAGCTGGCATCCGGGCCGCTTCACAGATAACTGTACTGAGCGTTCCTTGCCCCCCTTGCAAAAGGCTAAGTGGGACCCAAAGCACAGGACGAGGGGCAGCAGGTATAGCTCCCCAGTGCAAGACTTGATGCTCTCTCCAGTTGAGGAGCCCAGTGAGGAATACGTCGACGCGATGGATGAACTGCAGTGTCTGGTAGACACTGTATCTGAATACTTGGCTGAGAAAGAAGAAGAGATTAGCAAATTTGGTTCTCTCCCAAAAGCAGAAAAAAATTCCGAGTGTGCATCACTCCAGCAGGAGAATGCTGATAATTCGAGAGAGAAGTTAGCACACCCTGATCAGGCAAAGCCTGCTGTGATGGAGGACCGAGAGAGCAGCAAAGGCAAATCTGAATCTCTGCCCGACCTGTCAGGAGTGAAGAACACCGTAAATTCCTTGTTCAGTTCTTTCACTGAGAAGGTAGGCTCAAGTACAAAGCACCTCACAGCCTCCGTGGAAAAGCTTGTGTCTTCTGCACCAGAGACACCAGAAGCTCTAAGCCCATCAGAGGGTGGAATCGCCAAGATATTTTCTAGCAAACCTAAACCTGACCACTTAGCCCCTGAAGGGAAAGTGGAAAATAAGGCTGCTGTAATTTTTTCCCTGCATTCATT